AAGATGTTTTTTATTTCACTCTTTCTTTTAAAGGATATTTTCTTTGGATATGAAATTCTAGGCTGAGAAATTTTTCTTTCAGGACCTTAAAATGTCATTCCTTTATCTCCTGGTTTATGTTGTTTCTGATAAGAAGTCAGAGATCATTCTGATTGTTATTCTGTATTTAATGTGTCTCTTTTCTCTGGATGCTTTAAAATATTTCTGTATATTACTGATTTTCAGCAATTTCATTATGATGTGTGGTTTTCTTTGTCTTTATCCTGGTTAACATTCACTGAGCTGCTTGGATCAGTGAGTTTTAAGTTTTTCATCAAATTTTGAAAATTTTCAGCCAGTATTTCTGCAAAGATTTGTCTTCTCCAACTGTGTTATCTTTGCTATTGAGATTTTAATTATATGTATATTTGATTGTTTTATGATGTTTACAGATCAACTGAAGCTGTTTTTTAAGTTGGATAGTTTCTAGTGTCCTTTCTTCAAGTTTCTGATTTTTTCTTCTACAGTGTCTAATTTGTTATATTAGAAATGTCCATCAAGTGAATTTTTCATTTCAGCTGTCATGTTTTTCACCTCTGCAGTTTCCACTTGGTTCCTTTTTACATCATTTCCTTCTTCATTATATTCATGTTATCTTTTAAATCTTTGAGCATATTTACAATAGCTGTGTTAAGGTCCTTATCTGCTAATTACATTATCCCTGTCATTTCTCTATGTTCCTAATGATCTTTTTCCTCTTGATTATTACTTACATTTTCTTGCTTCACCTAATGAATAGTTTTTATTGTGTGCTGCACATTGTGGATGCTATGTTTTTAAGTGTCTGGATTTTGTTGTCTTCTTTTAAGAAGTATTGAATTTTGTTTTGGCAGGCAGTTAATTTACTTACGGATCAACTTGATACTTCAAAGGCTTGTTTTAAGGCTGCTTTAGGGCAGTTCTAGAGCAGTCCTTATTCTAGGGTTAGAGCAGTCTTTCTGAGGCATGGCTTTTCTGGGTCCCAACTGAATTCCCAAGGTATTCAGCAAGATCTCTCTGGCAGGTGGAACTCAAACTTTCCTTCTCACCTTGTGTGATTTCTGAATCTTCACTCGGCTCCCAGCCCCCCAGTAACTTTTGGATGCCAGTCTTTGCAGAAGCTTCCTCTGCACAAATACAGTTTGGTGCTCAGCTAAAAACTTCCAGGGAACGCTTTGTGCATTTCTAGAGTTCTTTCTTTTTTTTTTTTTTTTTTTTTTTTTTTTTTTGCACAATTGCCTCCTCTTTGTTTTCCTGGCCTGCAAATTCCAGCCGCCTCAGAAGCCCTAAACTCTGATCGCTGACTCTCGGTTCAGTGAGGTTGCACTGCATCCTCCCAGCTCCATCTCTGTGCCATGATCCAGAAGGTCTCTCCAGGCAGAGAGCTGGAGTGATCATGGGACTCACAGTAGGTCCTTTCGTATTCTTGCACCATCTGCCATTCAAGGTTTGAAAATTCTTGTCTCATGCTTTCTGTCCAGCTCTGCAGTTGCATCTGGAGGCGGGCCAGTCTTGTGCCAGGTATTGCCTCATGGTCAGAAGTGTAAGGACTCCTGTTCTCTTTCTAAGACAAATCTAAGAGCAGTGCTTCCCAAATTAGACTCCTCTTCCGTGACGTCTCCCTTTCATTCCCTCCTCCAGCCTTTGAGCACCCTATTCCCTTTTGCTTCCAGTGCATTTCCACCCACCTCTACCGCGTAAAGATTCCAGGAGACCTCCAGTCTTTCCGCCCTCTCAGCTGCGTCATTTCTTTTCTCGAATCTTAATATTCTTAGAAAATTTTTTCTTTTGCCCCAGTTAAATTTTCAGTTTTACAAAAAGGAGAGACCATGGTGCTTTTTAATTTTTAAATATCTCTCATGTGTAAACATCTCATGTTTCTTATAAGAGCAATCAGCCAACCTCTCTGAAACTTTTTCTTCCTTTTTTGATCAAAGCCCAGGTAGGAATTCCTGCTTGATAACATTTCATGTGAGAAGATCAACAGATGGAGCAAACTATTGAGTGAAACGAGTTAGGAGCCTGGGAAATTCATCTTGGTTCAGCCCTGACCTGCTCTGTGACCCTGGAGTGGTGCCCATACCTCTCTGAGCCTCTTTGTCCCTATCTGCCTTATACCTTTGGGGCCAGTGGGAAGATAACATGTGAGATAGCTTCTTATGCCTTCTCTTGGGCATCCCGTCTTTGATGTGCTCTATTTAAGTGGTTCTGAGCCATTCGTGCATTGATCCCTGACTCCACAGTATCTATTGAGTATTTCCTGTGTGTCAGAGAATGTGCCAGGCACTGAGTGCATGGTTGAACCAACTTGGCGGAGTCCCTACTCTCACGGAACGTACAGGACAGTGGGGAAAGAGCCGTTGATCAAAAGATCACAGCTTGTGTCATTACTGGTGGCAGTCAGATCTTGGAAGGGAAGAGGAGAGGGGAGTGAAAGATAAATGACCACGTGGGGATCAGGGAGGGCTACTCGAGGAAGTGATGGTACGTAGGACCAGCAGTAGTGATCCACGCAGAGGGACTAGGTTGAGCAAAGGCCACGAAGCTTGAAAGAGAGAGGGCGTTGTGGACCGAGAGGACAGGAGGTGGGCAGGTCCCAGGCCAGAGCAAGCAGGTGATGCCCTAAGGTTTATTGTATTATGTGCTTCTGGGGTGTCCCTGAGCCCCCTGCCACAGGGAAGGAGAGGCTCTTGCACACGGAAAGCCAGGGTTTTGACAGCATCGTAGCCTGTAAAAAGATCTGATCCGGAGGGCCTCCTAGAAACCATCCTGCCTGGTCGAGACTGAGGCCTAAAAGGGGAAGCAACGTGCTCAGTTTACTGCTCACAACTACTCTGTCGCTTGTGCCCAGGTCCCCCGGGGTGTGTGTTCGGACCTAGGGGGACCACGTGGCCTTGTGCAGAAGCCTCCTTGAGAAGGTGGTGGGCTTGAGCCCCTGCCCCATCTTGGCACTAACTGTGTGGCCTTAAACTTATTAACCGTTCTGGGCCTTGGTTTCCTTATCCCTAAAAAAAACAAAACAACCAAAAAAAACAAAAAACAAAACCCAAAAAAAAAGCAGTAATAACTGCTTACATTTGAAGAGTAGTTTGCCATTCAAGGTGCTTCTGTGACTTCCGTGGAGTCTCTCAGAATTCCTATGAGGGTGGTGGGGCAGAGATGGGTGTCCCGCTTTTATCAGTGGAGGTTGAGGGGTGGGAGGACTAAGACCAAGAGGGGAAATCAAAAGCCCAAGACGACAGAGGCTGGAGATGACAGACCTGGGATTGAGAGGTGGGTCAGCCTCACTCCCCAGACTGCGCTTCAGGGAGACTGGGGAAATCAGAGGCGGGGTGCTGGACACCTACCTCAGAGTTTGATGTGTAGGTTTATTCTGTGGCTAAAAAAATCATTGGAAATTGTGAGATGAGCCACGCTTCTGGTTGGACTCGGGGCCTTCGAGGTCCTTACCTCTGGAAGGGAGGGAGGAAGAGAAGGGGAACATACATAAGCACCCTTCCCTGCCCACAGCTCTCCAGGTCCTGACTGAGAAAGTGAGAATCCGGCGTGGGGAGGGGGAGTAGTGAGGGACACCTGTGTTCTCCTCTCACTGAGCCTTGAGGGTTCCTCCTGGGACTCAGGTGGGGCGGGTGAGGGCTTTTAAGGGACCATGACCAGAGTACTGTCATCCCTAGGTCCTGGCATCTGGCCACTACTGTGGTAGAAAGGTGCTGTGCTCCCCAAAGGGACAAGGGAGCAGTCTGAGTCCTCTGAGCTCACCTCAGTGCTTTGGGTCCTATGTGACCTTGGACAAGACCCTGCCTCCTGCTTCTCTGGGCCTCGGTGTCCCCAGCTGCCAGGAATGGGTAGAGATGGAGGCTCAGGAAGCGCCTGCTGATATTTGGCTGTGAGAGCAGTGGGCGCAGCATCTGATGCCTGGGGTGGACACTGCCCTGGGAGCAGGGGCATAAGGAGGCCTGTCTTCTGCCCACAGAGGCAGGCAGCAGAGCAGGGTCCTTGTCAGGCTCTGGCCAGGCTCTGTGGCAAGGTGGTGCCCTCGGGATGTGTTCCCAGTGCCTGTGGGTTCTGGGAGCCCCCACTCAGCACCCAAGGGGTCCCTTCTCTTGCTGCCTAGTTCGCTCTCACCTTCAGGGGCAAGAGTTGCAGTTGAGTGAAACCACTGCCCCCTGCCCCTTTGGTTTGAACATGGGACCGTAGCCACGTTCAGGGACTTGCCACCACTGGTAGTTACGTCTCCAGGCAACATGAAGGAGGCAGACTGCTGCCACCCTAGACCACCCAAGGGTCGGCCCCCGCTTCTCAGGGACTCTAGCTTCTGCAGAGAATTCAGGCGAGGGAGGCAAGAGGTCTGGGAAACGGTGACACAGGCTGCCCCAGACATCACCAGGGAGCTGCTACACTTTTTTCCATTAAATCGTCGGGTGTTGGGTTGAGCACTGTCCCCTGAGAGCATCAATTCCCAGGCAGTGTCCAGGGAGCACCACGAGCCACTTCCCCTCAAACCTTGTGATGACGTTTCCCGCTCCCTTGCCAAACAGCCCTACAGGTCTCTGCCTCTCTGCTGTCTGTCGTTCCTTCCGAGCTGGCCTGCCTTGGAAGGAAAAGAGGCTTGGAAGCCAACGTTCTCAAAAATGCACTTGGGCTTGGGCTGAGTAATGCAGGTGCTCCGAACATGGGTCCAGGCCAAGTTCTTAGACACTCGGAGCCTAGGCTGGTCAAGGGTTAGGGATGAACCACCAGTGGGCTGGTCAGCGGCTCCAGGCAATGCTGAGTGTGAGCTGGTGACCAGGCTTCCCTTGAGGAGAAGCTGGGGAGGGTTCTAGACTCCCGGATTTTCTCAGGCTCCGGGCGGGAGCCAGAGCCCTTGCTCTCTGTGGACCAGGAAGTTCTGACCCTCGAGAATAGGGGGTCTGTGGCCCCGAGAGGCCATGTCCTGGGCCAGCTCCAAGGGCCCTCGGGGACTGAGAGCATGACCCTCTCAGGTACCGCCCCCGGGTGGGAGCCACCGGATGATCCAGACACGGGCTCTGAGTGTTCGCATCCAGAGGTCTCCCCGTCTCCACGCTTCGTGGCAGCGAAGACCCAGACGAACCAGTCGGGGAAAAAGGCTCCGGCCTCCGTGGTCCGATGCGCCACCCTCTTACACCGCACCCCTCCAGCCACCCAAACCCAGACGTTCCGCACTCCAAATTCGGGATCTCCAGCAAGCAAGGCAACCGCAGGTACCAATGGCCTATGTTACCCTCACACTTCCTCCGCTCCCCGCCCTTCTTTCCACCTGCCACAGCTGTGCCCGGGGTCATTGTTCCCTTGCAAGAGTGAGAGTGGAGGTCCCATAGTTCTCTGGGGCAAACCTGGGTCCCGGCTCTGCCTCTGGCTGGCTGTGTGACCATGGCAAGCCACCTAAGCTCTCTGAGTCTAGGTTTTCTTATAGAACTCAGAGGGTTGTACAAGATGGTTTGCAGACTAATTTTTTTTAAGCAGAATATTTTTTTCCCAGGTCATGGCCTAAAGGGATTTAAATTCTTTTAAATTAATTGCCAACGTTTGAACATTAGATTTTTATATGAAACTTTTGATTTCTAGCTGACATTGAAAAGTCAGATCTGGCAGTCCTGGGCCCACTTTCCTGCAGGGCAGCAGTTGCCTTGGGGCTGAGCCACAGCTGCCTCCTTCAGTAGAGCATGTGCTCTCCAGTTTTCCACAGTCCCCACCACTCCCTCCTGCCTCCCCAACACCGTGGCCACGTGGCAGGTGCCATTTCTCATTGTGACCACACTGTTGTCTGTCTCGCATCCAGCCCAGTCCATCCATTTATGTCACCTGCCTGGACCCTCTTGGCATGAGTTTGCATCGCCCATCTTTCAGAAAACCTAATCTAAAAACTCATTCCTACAAAGAGCTGCTCTCTGTGAAGAAGAGTGGTTGTCTGGGAGCTCTGTTCTCTTGGTCTCCGTCTACCTAGTACTATTCGTGAAACCTCTCCATGAGCCATAGCCCAGCGGGAAACCAATGGATGGATGCTGGCTCCAGTGGTGCTGGAGTCTGTGCAGCAAGGGCTCAGACTCCAGAAGGGTGAAAAGGCAGTGAAAGGTTCACAGCAGCCATTTTCTTATCAGTTATCAAGGAAAACTGCTGAGACACACTGTGTGCTGAGTACTAGCTAATCAGGAATCCTGATTCATACCTGGATGGAAGGAGCTTTGAGCCTCCCGCCTACATGTGTGGGACGTAGGGTAGAGTGACGATGTGGTCCTTCTGGGACTACAAGCCTTTCAGATGCCTTCAAGAGGCCCAGAGCTACTCATTAAATGTACAAGTGATCAAACTGAGAACTCAAATGAACAAGGAGGCTGGACCAATGACAGGCCAAGGGATTAGTTGTGCTTGCCTGTACTCTGGTTCAGGAGGCTAATCAGGAGCAAGGATGTAATTCTTGAAATGTTGAAGATACGTTTGTTGTTGATCTCCCAAAAGGAGAGTAGGTAGGTGATTACGCTTGAAGGTCATGGCTTTCAGGTTCTGTGTAGAGAAGAGTCCGTGGCCCTTGATTTTTGACAACAGTAGTCATAAATCAGAAATAGGTTGGTTGTCATGAGCTCATGGGTGGTAGATACTGGCTCAACTACATAATGGGATCATGGCTTTCAGATCTTGCTTTTACTCTTGACCTTGTGGCTGGGAGTTTGGGCATCTGCAGTTTCCGCACAGAGCTGCCTACAGGGCTGTGTGCTCTGTGGCAGCTCTTGGAACCCAGTGTCACCGAATAAGCGTCGAGCAGGCTTTGGGGCTTGCCTCTGGCTACCTTTATGTGACCTAGAAGACGTGCGGTGGGTGTCACACCTGGGTTACCAGCTGTGCGGGGCAGAGGGCACCAGGTTGTGAGCCGGAGCCTGCATGTTAGAGCTGGCAGTCGTCCCTGCCCCCGCCACGCTAGAACAGGCAGCTCCTCCTGTGTGGATGGATGTGCCTGTGCGGGGATGTCACCTGCGGTACCGCTCACTGGCTTTCAGCCAGAGGTGCCAGTGGCAGGGACAGCTGATCAAAATCTGCAGTATCAGCTGAGCCGTAGGAGGCCAGTTGTGAGCTTGTAACCTCAGTTGTGCTAAATTCTACCAGTAGGTTGGTCAGGCTGCTTGAAAATCATCCACAGTTGGGTAACCATCCCCCTGCACGCACGAAGATAAAGATGGAGAATGGAATCACTTCCCTGCCCTGACATTTTTAAAAAGGAAGCATCTGCCCCAGGGATGAAATCTTATTCTGCCATCTTAGGCAGTTAGGAGAGCAGCCAGCCCCAGGAACTGGACAGCCTCACTTTCCTCTGGCTTCTCATCTGTGAAATGGGAACAAAAACGTGGACCTCATAGGGCTGTTAGAGCATTAAGGGAGACCACGGATGTAAAGTGTCTGGACTGGCGCCTGTTCCATAGGGGGTACTCAGTAAGTAAGAGTGCCCCCCTTTCCCTAGACAAAGAATTGAGGGACTTTCTTGGCCAATTCACAGATGGCTTCTTGAAGTGGACAGCTGTGTAGCTCTCAGCCCAGGCATTTTACAGACACATTTAGAAAAAGGGTCTTCCTTGTGATGTTATGGACTGCCTCTGCGAAAAGGAGGCTGCGTCAGGGGGTGTTGTCGGGGTCGGGGGACAGGGCAGTTGACCAGGACCTATAGGAGCCACCTCTGGCTTCCCTTCCCATCACCCAGTGATTGTTGGGGACCCGGCCCCCACAATCTGAGCACTTGTCCTTCTGGCCTAGGGTGAACTGGGTGACAGTGGCATTTCCCAAAGTGGGTTCCCACGATCACCATTTTTGAGGACTATTAAGGACTCTGATTTTTTCTTTTTTTTTTAAGGACTCTGATATTTTTTAAATGGGCTTCAGCGGCCACATACATTTGGGAAGGTTGGGTTAAATAATGCTAAGTGAATCTCTCTCTAGCTGAACTTTTCAGAGCCTTTCATATCCTCATGCAAGTTGTTTCTCAAGAAAGGCTGGGTCGGCTCCTCGCCCCAAATTGGCTTGGTCCCTGAAGGCTTTATCTCCTGGAGCATCCAGCATCCCTGTTGTGCCAAGAGCAGCTTGGAAAAGCCCAGTTACTCAGATTTTCTGTCTCAGTACCTTCCACATGTTGGAACAGGGCCTGAATTAGTGTTTTCCACCTGGTTGGACCCTATCTCTGCACTCTGGCGTTTAGAGAGTCCTGGGAGAGGGTGAGGCACCCAGAAAGGTGCCACCTGCAAGCAGACACCTCAGTAATCACTTTGGAGCCAGTGTCTTCCCCTGGGTGAACCCTGACCAGACCTCACCAGGAGGCCTTTGGCCTCCTGGGGTGTGGGTGCCCTGGCTCTGCCTGTCGTAACTTCTCTGCCGCCCAGGGCCCCTCAGCTGGTGGAGCTGGAATCAGTCGTCTGGCCCTCCTGCGCTGTCAGAACCACCACCAGAAAACAGACTGTCAACCTCCCTGCTCCTCGGGGAGGCCTGTGGCCACAGAGCGAGTAGTGAGTGGCAGATCCAGATTACTTGGTGTCACAAATATGGCTCCCCGGGGGTCAGAGGTGGGAGGCCCTGGCCGTTTGCCATCTGCTTCATAGCTGGTTGTCATGTGTGCTCCCAGGTCACACATGCATCCCCCCATGCCTGGGCCTCCACCCACTCTGGGCACGGTCAGGGGGGGTCGTCTTGGGGTCCTGACAAGGTATCAGGCAATTCAGGTGAGCTTGAGGAGCTGGAGGTGCCTGTTTGGGGTTCTGGAGCCCCTCACTGGGCTGCTTCCCCAGCATAAGGCCCCGGGCACGCACTCACCCAGCCCAGGCACGGGTGTCTCCCACGGACCCGGCCTCTGAGCGCCCTCTGGCATCTCGCTCCCTTTGGGCCTGGTGCTGACCAGTCACCACGGTTTTTTCTTACTCTCTCCTGTCCCCACCCAGCAGAAAGCGCTTTCAGTCGGAGGGTGGAAGGCAAAGCACAAAACCACTTTGAAGAAACGAATAGTAGTTCCCAAAACTCCAGCGGTGAGTGCGCCCCCAGCAGTTCCTGTGCTGCGGCCTCCGTCTGTCCTGGGGTCTGCGTGGTGCATGATGGGCAGGGGGTGGTGTTGGGAGGAGGCCCGGAGCAGAGAATCAGAAGGTGGCCAGGGCCAGGCAGAAGTGGGAGGGGCCTTTTCTTCCAGGGACATCCCTCTGACCTTCAGCAGCGTCTTGGGGGCCGTGGCTTCTCTTTATCTCTTCTCCATGGAGAAAGGAGCTCCCCCTCTCTGTAGCCTGTGATATATTGAATCTCATGGCCCTCGTTCAGCCATTGCTATGTTTGCAGAGTGAACATCACAGCCATTTTCTTTCCAGGAGAGGCAAAGGGGGTACAGTAGAGAGAGCTGTGGCCTAAGAGCCCGAGGCTCTGAGATCTGGCCCTGCTTTGGACCTGGGAGCATCCAAAGGTTCCCTTCCAGCCCCTGCCAGCCCAAGTAGGTTTGCCAAGGTTCCTGGTGGTGTTTTGGCGCCCCCTGGTGACTGTCTCCTGCCGGACCCTGGAAGAGCCATAGAGCACCTTAGAACAGAGCAGCCAAAGGCTGCTATCCCCGGCCAGACCTGGGGCCAGCCTGGTGGGGCTGTGGGTGGTCACAAGCAGCCTCTGTCCGAGCAGAGCAGCCTCTGTGCAAGCTGGTCTGCACAGTGCCAGCCAGGGCAGGATGGGGAAAGGATGCTGATCCTTCAGTTACATTGAAGTAAGACACCACTAGCTTTCTTGCTTAGCTGAAGTTTAATTCACTAGATTAGGTGCTGGCCGGTGCTCAGCACCATGCCAAGCACTGCCATCTGGGTGTAGACAGATGATGGGCACGGCTTGACCACCACTCTTTTCAGGGGCTTTACAGAATATCCAGGAGTGCAGACTTGCACATGGAAGCTTCTGTGCAATGACCTGACTTTGGCCAAGGCGCAGCCCCAACTCCACCATCTACAAGCTGGTGACTTAGTCTTGCCCCGCAATTTCTTCTCTGCTCCGGAGTAGGAATAGTACATGTGTCCCGGGGAGGGGCGGGGCATTAAGCCAGTGCCCCGCGCAGATTGCACACTCACATGGTCGGGTGTTTTTGTGGTGGTTGTTTTTTTAAGTCAACCAAGTGACTGGATGAGTTAGGGACGGAGATGTGCTGTGGGAGCCCTAAGGATGTGGACCCCATCCTTTAGACCACAGACGGCATGTCGACTTTTCCAAGCGGCTTCATCCTTTTGAAAACTGTAACCTGCTCAGCCCTTCCAAAAGGTGGCCCTTAAAGATAAAAGAGATGGAGCGACCGGCCCAAGGCCACCCAGGAATAAGTAGCATGGCCAGGATTGGAACCACGGCCTCCTGGGAGCCTCTGCTCTCAGCCAGCCAGGCTGCACCCCCTGCCTCTCCTTCCACCAGAGCCAGTGCTCGGAATTGGGAATGACGGTGTGAAGTGCTGCTCCTGCCGGCAGCCAGCATTTATTGTGCGCTTACTGTGTGCCTGGCACGTGTTCAGAGTGTATGTGTCTTACCTGTTTTCATCCTCACCACAGCCCGGGGGGGTCAGTGTTACTGTTATCCCCACCTTTTGGATGAGGAAACGGGGGCTCAGGGGAGGTCGATTGCTGTCCCGGGTTCCCAGCTTCTAAGTGGTGGAGCCAGGATTCCTGGTGTAGTCTGTCTGGCCCCGATCTGCTGCCACCTGCCTGTGAGGCTCAGCTGACAACCCAGGAAGCGTCGGGGAACTGCCAGCCAACAGAAACCCTCAAAGCTCAGCCCTCCCTTGGCTGCCCTGATGCTTGGTGCCAAATACTCCCACCATGGTGCCAGGACCTCAAAGCGGCTCCCAGCTCCTGGTCCTGAAGCAGGCAGCCACGTGCGGGTGTTTTCTCATCAGTGGTCTGTGGGCTCACTTATTAAAGTTGAGGGTGTCCTGGGGGGATGGCCCTGGCTGATCTTGCCTTGCCTGTGCCCCAGGCCTACCATAGAACGTGAGCCTGGCTCCCAGACGCTCGCCCTCCTCTGAGAGCCCATCTGGCTCACTGCTTACTAAGGACAGAAATAATGACCATCATCTCTGAGCACCAGAACCAGAAGAGACTTAGCTAAACTGTTTCTCTTTTGCAGAAACTGCAAGTCCCCTGATTTCCAATCCTTTCCCTCTCCTACAGAGTAAGTGATGGTCCCATCGGGGGGCTGGAGAGGGCGAGGCAGGGCAGGGAGTGAACTCAGCCGGCCACACGCTCGGGACCTCCCCGGAGCATCAGACCTGGGCCACCCTCCCAGGCAGCCTGGGCAGCTGGTGGAGGCAGGAGGAGGCCCAACCCCAGGCGGGTGGAGTTTGGACAGGGGACAGGCAGAGCTGTGACCTGGGCAGCCTGCCTCTGCCACCCCCAGCCCTGCAGGAGCACAGCCTCCCCTTCCTGCTCACAGGGCAGCCTCAGGGCACCTTTTCTGAGCCCCATCTCCACCATCTTCCTGCTCTCTTTTCTTATCCATCTTTGCGCCCTTCTCTCTTTCTTCTTCCTTCCTCGTCCCTGTGGCGGGCACTGCCGTGAGTGCTGGGCACACAGACATGAAAAGATCTAGGTACTTTGCACACATGCTCCTGTTTCTACATGTGCCCTCATTCTTCCTGCCCTCCCATCCTCTCCCCTTCCCTCTCTTTGTCTTACCCTCTCTTCCTCTGGCTCTGCTGTGTTTCTCCCCTTCTTTCCCTTTTTCTTGCCCCTTCTCCCCTTCTCTTTGCTGCCTTCCATGTCCCTTCTGTTGTTTTTGGTTCATTCATTCATTCTTTCATCTGTTCATTCGGCAAGCAGTGCTGTCTGTGTGCGTCCCCTGGCAGAGAGATGGGCTGTGGAATAAAGATGCGGTCTCTGCCCTGAGAGAGGTCTTGGTCCATTAGTGTTGTCCTCCCCTCACCATCCCCAGTGCCCAGAACAGTGCCTGGCACACAGTAAGCACTCCATAAATGCCGCTTGATTGCACTCGACGGTCTTTATCTGCGCATCTTCCCTCTCCATCACCCCTTCCTCCCCGTTTCTCTCTCACTAGTTAGTGTGGGAAGCAGACAGACCCAGAGCCCCATGGGCACACCCCCAGTGTGTGTTTGGATTCCCAGTTCCAAAGCTGCCTGCAGCCCAGCAGAAAGACGTCTGGGTTCGTTCTGCCCCTGACACAGCAGCTCTGTTTCTCCGCACAGAACCCTACACGTGCGGCGCCTGTGGGATCCAGTTCCAGTTCTACAACAACCTGCTGGAGCACATGCAGTCCCACGCAGGTAAGGGCCCCCAGGTGGGGTTGGCCAGGGGCTGCAGCCCTCCCTTCTGCCTTCGTCAGAGCCAGCCTGAGCCCGCTCTCCCAGGAGATGGTCACAGGACACGGGAGCCCCATCAGTCAGTTGTAACACAGGGTGGTCTGTGCCCTGAGGGGAAGGGGGGTGGCAGCAGGGTCCGGTCCGTGGTAGCACATCCAGAGATGGGGATGGAGCTGAAGAAGGCTTCCAGAAGGTTGTGACTTTTGCGCTGAGCCTCCGGGCCAAGTAGGAGGTGACCAGGAGGCTGTGGTTTGATTTCAAGGTGAGCAGAGCAGGGATGGCACTGGAGAGAGGGCAGCCCGGGGCAGCCAGGGGTCAGTACTCACTGGAACACTCTGTCCCACAGAGCGGCTGTCCTCAAACGTCAGCCTGCTTCAGAGGAGGGCTGGTGAAAGCACAGAGTTCTGGGCACCCCCCTGAATTTCAGATTCATGAATCTAGGGTGGGGCCCGGGATTTACATTTCTGCAAATTGGATTTCTGACAAATCCTCAGGCCCCCGCGGCTCGTCCGGGGGCCGTACTTTGAGAACCACTGCTGCGAGCAACAGCTAGTGGTGTGCCGTCTAGGCCAATCTTTTTTATCAGCTGCCTTGCCATCTGTCCAGCATACAGTATCAGATCCCCCACTGGACCACCCAGCCTCAGATTTTAGGCTTTTGTCATAGTGGCACCGACTTCTGGTCTAATTTCTGTTTTAGTCAGGGAGACAATTTGCTGTAACAGATAAGTCCCAAATTCTCAGGGGTTTGGCATAACCCCTTGTTTTCTCAGTCACATCACAGCCAGGTGCAGGTGGCCTGGTTGGGTGGCCTTCTGCACGGTGATGCAGGCGTCCGGGCTCCCTCCTTCGTGTGTCTCCATCCTCTCCTGGCTCACAGCATCCTCCCTCTCTGACTGGCGGGCAGGGGGAGAGGCACACTTCCTTCTTTACCATTTTAGACCACAAGTGGCAGCTTTATGCTCAAATTCCAGGGCTGGGAAGCCTGCCCGGAGCACTGCCCAGGGACACTCTGCCAAGGGGAACAGAAAGTAGGGGAGGGAGCTTGCTGTCCCTGCCACCCCTCCTTCAGGGAATCCCCTGGAGGCACTGGAGATGATGTGGGAAAAATGCCTGACACACCTGGTGGTTCTGACCAGGAAAGGGACTTCGAGGTGGAGACTGAGTGTTTAGCTGCTGTTGTTTCTGTTGTCACTATTATTATTATCGTTATCAGTTATTGTTTGTATTTCGCTTTATAAATCTTTCACACAGTCTTCCAGGTCTGGCCAGACTGGCACAGCGTATTAGAGCTAGGCTGTCAGGCTACATGCTGTTCTGTTACTGTGACCCTTCTCATTCACTGGTTTATTCAGCTTGTATCTATTGGGTGTCCGCTCTGCACTAGGCACCAATTCACGTGATTTGGGGAGGGGGATAGATTTTTTTTTTAAATATACTCGTTAAAAGCAGGACAGAGCTGGATTGGCCACCATGACACGTGAGCTCCAGTCCTGCTCTAACCAACATCCTCCTCATGGTGGGACTCAGGCAGGAAGCTTTGTCCCCCCTCTCTGAGGGGCTCTGTCTGTAAAGCAAGGGCACACAGACCTGCGATCTCCAGCTGCCTTCTTCCACCAGAGTTCCGTCTTCTTGTGTCTCATGCCTCCGGGTTGCTTAGCCATCAGCTGTCCTGCACCAGGGAGGGCCTTGAACATAGCTCACAGCGTTTAGACTTGACCCCGTGTGGAACCAGTGGCTGAAGTTGGAAGGCTGCTGGGACGCTGCGTGAGCACACCACCTGGACCCTGCTCATTCCTCCTCTGAAACCCTCTGCCCCTCTGTGGGCTTCTGGAAGCTGAGCTCTAATGAGGGGAGAGTCTGGGTGGCAGTGTTTCTCCGTCCCTCCTGTAATTAGGCGGAGGCCATTAACATGCAAATCAAGGATGCGCCTTTGGGGGCCCCACCTCCCCCAAGCATCCCGACTTGTTTTCCGAGAAGAGCTTTGGGCTGCTTTGTTCTGGTCCAGTGCTGGCAGAGAATGCCTTGCCGGCAATCCAGTGCAAAGCCAGGCGGAATCCCAGCCAGGCTGAGTCGGGATTAAAAGGATTGACTCCATAGAGAGAAATTAAGCGTCATGATCTGCGCAGTTCACAGCGCTGCTGATAAGGGGGATCAGCCTCGAATAACACCAATCTCATTAAGAGGCTGCTGAACGGCACGGGGTAATTCCCGCTAATAAACTTCCTTCCTGTGCTGCAGGAAAACCTGCCTGGCCCCTGGTGACAGTGGAGGAGCAGGTTTTGGCAGCAGTAATACTAAGGATTGCTAACGTTTAGTGAGCGGTTACTGTGTGTCGGGGCTGGTTACTGTGTCAGGTCTCCTGACAAGCTCGCTGACGTTACACAGATGGGGAAACTCAGGCTCAGAGAACCGAATTGCTGGCCCAAAGTTGCATGGCTTGTAAAAAGTACCTAATATCATTTGAGCTCTTATTTCCATGCCAGGAGGTTTTCTGAGAGTTTCACATATACTAGCTCATTTGATCCTCAGAAAGGAGGATCTTGCTATGAGTTAAGTGCCCATTTTAGCTCCACTTTATAGATAAGGGAACTGAGGTTAAAGTGGCTGATGCATTCACAGCATCCGACCAGGATTCTGACTCTCCCGTGATCTCCCAAGGCTATGCTCTCAAACCTCACCCTCGTCAGCAAGGTAGATGGGGTGGAGGATCTGGGGAGGTGGTTCCCCCTCAGAGGTCAGTCCTTCTAGCCTCTTTTCGAGTGCAGTCAGAGGACCGCAGCCAAGAGAGTGGCTCGTGGACTTTCCTAGGTCAGACAAGTTAGCAACTCAGCTCGGCAGGATTTTGGAATGGCCACGCTGGGGTTTTAATCCCTTTGAGCCACTTCATCTCTCTGGATGTCAGTCTTCTCGGCTGTCAGATGGGCTCATCTCTGCTCCTCACAGGCTGGGTGAGGGTCCAGAGATGATGTATGTGAGGTATTGAGGGCTGTGGCATGTTCTAAAGTAGGTCCGGATAATGCAGGCACCCCTTTTTCCATCCCCTGCTAGAAACTTTTGCTTTCTCTTTTTTTCTCCACTGATCCCTTCCTAGGAGACAGCCTTTACTCCAGCTGTGCATCCAGCCCTTTACAGGGGTGGGTGTGTGTGTGTGTGTGTGTGTGTGTCTGGGGTACCTAGGAATGGCTACACTAAGTTAACCTTATTTCCAGCTCAAGCTGTAAGTCAAGCCTTTCACAGAGCATTTACTGAGTACCTCACCTATTCAGCAGCACTGTCTGTGAGATAAGGAGAAAAAACAATTTTAATCAACCGTATTAGACATGGTTAGGTAATTTAAGGTTGAGTAATCTCGATTCCAAGTCCTGCAGAAAGGCAAAGAGTGAGGGACTCAGCCTGCAGCTTGCCCAGCCCCAGGATTTTGGGAGGAGGAAGGGGACACTGAGGCCCAGAGGTTGAAGTGATGGACTCAAGGTCACACATCCAGGACTTCCAAATCTCTCTACTCTAGTGGAGAAAGTCAGCGACAATGGCTGCTGGTTTCCATTTTTAAATCTGTGCTTTTGTTTTTAACTGGGAGATCTATTCAGTAAAGGAAATTGGGGGAAATGCAGAGAAGTTAGAAAATGAAGAATCAGCTGTAATCTCACTACTCAGAGCTAACCACTGTTATTCTTTTAATGGTTTCTTTTCAGTCTAGTGTAAAATCAGATTTATTGAGATGTAACTTATGTAGATAAAATTCACCAATTTTAAGAGTACAGTTTGATAGATATTGATAAATGTACAGTCATTTAACCACCATCACAAGCACAATGTTACCCTCAACCCAGAAAGTTCCCTTTGCAAGTTGCTTTCCCAAACCCCTACCCTGGCAATCATTGTCTGCTTTCTTTTGTTAGAGTTTTGCCCTTACTGGAATTCTGTATAAATGGAATTATATGGTATTGAGTCTTTTGTGTCTGTTTTGTTTCACTTAGCATACTTCTGAGACTCATCCATGTTGTTCTGTGCTGTCAGTAATTCTTTTTATTTCTGACTGGTATTCCATTGTTTGGATATACCACAATTTGTTTAGCCATTCACCGTAATTTTCTTGTAATTTTTTTCTCTAGTTTTGGATCCGGGTAATGCCAGCCTTATAAAATGAATTGGGAAATACTCTTTCCTCTTCATTTCCTAGAAGAATTTGTTTAGAATTTAACCTTCCTTAAATATTTGGTCAGATTCGTCAGTGGATCCACATGAGAATTTTCTTTGTGAGCCATTATGTAAACTGTGAACTGAATTTTCTTAATAGTTATAGAATGTAATAGATTTAATTAAGGTTACCCTTTTCATTTGGAGTGAACTTTGGTACTTTGTATTTTTTAGGGTATTTTTTTTCTTTTGCCTCGTTTAAGTGGTTGAATTTATTTGCATGAAGTTGTTCATAATCACTTTAATCCCTTTAACATGTGTAGCATCTGTAGTAATGTCCTCTTTTATTCCTGCTACTAATAAGTTCTGTCCTCTTTTCCTTTTCTAAATCTTTCTCATTATAGTTTTATTTTTAGTTTCATTGATTTCTCTCTGTGTGTTTACCTATTTTTCTGCTTCATTTATTTCTGCTTTTATCTGTAATTAGTTCCTTTCTTCTGCTTACATTAGACTCAACTTATTCTTTAAACTTGTTCCTTAGGTCTCTTAGGGTAGAAGCTTTATACACTGATTTTAAACCTTTCTTCTTTTCTAATATTATTATTTAACGCTATAAATAGCATTTGTTGAGATATATCCCACAAATTTTGAGATGTTATGTTTTAATGTTTGATTCACAGCATTTCTGATCTCTCATATTTTCTCTGACCCATGAGTTCTTTACAACTGTGATGTTTAATATTCAAATAGTTGTAATTTTTCCAAATATCTTTTTGTTATTGATTTCTAATTTAATTTAGTTATGATCAGAGACTAGACTTTATGTGATTTCACTATTTTTCTGTCCCACCTCCTTTTTCTGGATATCCAATTATATATACATATTGGACTGCTTGTTGTTGTCCACTCTCTGTTCATTTGTGTTCAGTCTTCTTTTTTTTTTTTCTCTTTTCTCATGAGAGTAGCAATTACTGAGAAAAGAGATTTGAAATTTCCAGTTGTAGATTTGTCTATTTCTTATTTCAGTTGTCTCAGTTTCTGCTTCATGTGTTCTGATGCTCTCTTATCACATGCACACATGCTTAGGGTGCATACACACTTGGTGATTTGACTCCTTTATCATTATGCAGAGTCTCCTGTTACCCCTGGTCATAATTCTTGTTCTGAGATCTGTTTTTTTCTGTAATACTATCACATACATCTCCAGCTTTCTTTTCATTACTGTATGTATGGTGTACTTTTTTTAGCCTTTTACTTTTAATCTATCCATGCCTTCATATTTAAATAGGTTTCTTATAGATAACATAGAGTTTTGTTTTTTTTAATTAAGTATGGCAATCTCTTTTATTTGAAATGTGGAGACCATTTACATTTAATGTAACTTTAATATTATTGGATTTAAATCTACCATTTTGCTATTTGTTTACTAATTGTTTCATTTGTTCTTTTGTTCCTTTTTTTTTTTTTGGGCACCTTGTTTTGGACGGAGAACTTTTTATGATTCTGTTTTTATCTTCACAATGGGTTTATTAGCTATAATTCTGTTTTATTTTTTATAGTTTATTTGGGTTTTAAAGTATATTTCTAATTTATCAATTCATCCTTCAGAGGATGTTAAATGCCCACTTTGCGTACTGTGTGAAAAACTTTTAACAAAATTCTATTTCCCCTTCCTAGTCTCAGCTATTTTTGTCATATAGTTTACATCTACATATAATTACAATTCTTTGATATTATTTTCCAATGAGCAGTCAGTTATCTTGTTAAAGAGATTAAAAATGAAGGAAAACATTTTTTATATCTATATATGTACAGTTTCCAGAACTCTTCATTTCTTTCCACAGATCCAAATTCTTAATTTGATGTCATTTTTTTTTAATACCTGAAGAACTTCCTTCAGTATTTCTTACAGTTGCAGGTCTGATTTTTTTTTTTTGTCCTTATTTTACCTCCATTTGTGAAAGATAATATCGCTAGATTTGAAATTTTAGGTTGATATTTTATTTTAATACTTTGTTCTGTTGCCTCCTGGGTCTGTGGTTCTTACTTTTGTTCACCTGTACTTAATTTCCCCCCATTTCTGACTGCCTTTAAGAGTTTCTCTTGTCATTGGTTTTCAACAATTTGATTATGGTGCTGTGCCTTGGTGGTGTTTTCTTTATGTTTATTCTGCTTGGGGTCAGTTGAGCCTTTAGAATCTGAGTTTATAGTTTTCATCCAATTTGGAATAGTTGGCCACGTCTTCAGTAATTTTTCCCTCCCTCACCCCCTTTTTCTGGTTCTCTAATTATATGTGTGTTAAACTGCTTAGTATTGTCCATGCTGTTTATTTATTTTCAGTCTTTCACCCTCTGGTTTTCATGTTGAATAGTTATTTTGCTCTGTTTCCAACTTCACTGATTTTTTTTTCTTTTCTTCTGTGGCAGCTAATCAACTTTTATCCCATGCAGTGCATTTTTCCTGTACCATTTATTTTTATATTTAGAAGTTCCACTTGAGTGGTTAGTATTAGTTTAGTTTTTTTTTCCTTGCATCCTTCATTTCTCTCCTTGTGATATCTCTGAGCATATTTATGATAATTTTACAATAGCTGTTGTAAGCTTCTTTTTTGGCTAATTCCATCATCTCTGTCCTTTCTGGGTCTGTTTCTATTGATTGGTTTTTCTCATGGTTATAAGTCATACTTTCCTACTATTTTGAATGTCTGGTACTTATTAGACAATTGATGTGGTGAATTTTATATTGTTAGGTGCCAGATTTTGTATTTTTAAAAGAGTATTAAACTTTGGCTTACAGTTCATTTCTTGGGATCGCCTTAATACTTAAAGGGTTGCTCTTAAAATGTCCTATGGGAGGTCCAATGTCCTAGTGCAGCCCTAGATCTGGGGCTAATTTAGCCCCGCAGTAGGGGGACTGTGTCCAGTTTCTCATGCATTGAGGTCTCTCCATTCTGGTTGAGGGGATACAAATTATTTCCCCCATGTGGGAGCTCTGAGAATTATCAGCCTACTGTGTTTTTGTGATTCTTTCCCCAGTCCTGTGGAATTTGACCCTCTGCGTAGGAAGACTAGTTTCAGCAAAGACTCCGGGGTAGTTTCCAGAGCTCCCTCTTTTTGTCACTCCCTCCTCGTTGGTACTTTTCCTAGTAAATTCTACCTGTCTGGGGCCTCCCTGAACTTTGATCTCTGTCTCTTCAGCAGGACCGCTGGGCTCTGTTCAGTTCCCTTCCCCTATGTTGCGGCTTGAAAACTGCCTCCAGGCAGCAAGCATGACAGTCAGAGCGTGTACTGAACTTGTTTCTTTTTCTGGGATCACACCCTGGGTTGCTTGTCTGAAAGCAGTCATATCATGATTTGTAGCTGTTTGCATCTGGAGGGCAGTTCCCACGGCCGGTCATGCTTCACGGGCGGAAGTGGAAGTCCCTCCCCATCTGTCTTTGATGCATAAATTTCTTCCTTATTTGACCTGTGAGTCTAAGATACATATATACATATTTATATATGAATACATATGAAATTATGATTAGAGCTTGCTTTTCATCATCTTGTGCACTTTCCCGTGTTACTCTAGTCTACGTGACCACATTTCTAGTGGCTGCAAAATATTCCTCTGAGTGCATGTCCCAGAGTCTCTTAACTAGTCTTGCAGGGCTGACTGAACATGTAGAAGTTGGGGAAGTCTTTTCTCTAGGTATGAAAAGTGTGGCCTTGACCTCCAAGGCCTGATGCCTTTGACTAAGAAGAATGGAAAGCATCTGGCAACCCTGAACCAGGGCCACTGATGACTCGTTCATATCCTCATGTTGTGAATTTTACCTGTAAGATGATGTCTCAAGGAGATACACCTACATCAACAACAAAAGAGCACAGAGAAACAGTCTTACTAGAATTTTAGGCAAGTAGGTCCATAGCAGAACAGTAATATTTATGGAGATGGCACAGCCTAGAAACTCAGGGCTTGGAGTGGAGTTAAGCATTCTTGGAATATTGTCTGATAAAAGCTTGTGTCGCCATTTGTGATGACAAGCATGTAACTCAGACCATTTCTACTTAGAATTGTCAAGGGGTAACCATGAATAGAGGAGGAGAATAGGCATATGGCTATTACTTATAACTGAATACAATTGCAAGTGCACGAGTTAACAAAAATTAGGGAAATGCACGGAGAAGGCATCTAGGAACTGGAAGGCCTGAGATGTCTGGCCCAGCTCTGCTGCTGGTTTTCTGTGTGATCTTGGGCAAATCCTCTCCTATAATGGACTTCAGTTTCCACTTCCTACATGTAATGAGGGGGTTGGGTATTTCATACTCCGTGTCACGTGGGGCTTTGGTTTTGTTGTGTTCATTTAATAACTGTTTAGTAAATATACTGAAAAGATGAAAAGCACTCTCTAAAGAAGCGAGAGTGTGAGATGCTTTTGGTCTCTTGCAGTGTTACGGGCACCCCTTCCCCTAGCTCAGAGCTAGAGCTTTGGCTGTGGTGAGGGTGGGTGTTGGCGGGCAGTGAGGGGTGGGGAGGCTCCCAGCCACGCTCGGAATCCAGCAGATCCCATTCACTGAGCGCTCACTGTGTGCCAGGCACCATGCCCTGCTCTTTCCCTGCTTTAGCTCTTACTAGTTCTTCCAGCAACTGTGACATCCGGGTGATTATCTTCATTTTTCCAAGTGATGAAAATGAGATTTTGCAGGCATCAGATAGTTGTCTAAGTAGCCAGGATTTGTCCCAGAGGCCAGTCTCGCCTTCACCCACATGCTCTGGTTCTCACCTTGTTAGCCGCAGGCCTCTTGCACCTCAGGGAAACACACTGTCCCCTTTGTGCCCCCAGCGGACAACGAAAACAACATCGCCTCCAACCAGTCCCGATCACCACCTGCTGTCGTGGAAGAGAAGTGGAAGCCCCAGGCCCAGAGGAACAGTGCCAACAACAGTAGGTCTCTCCCAAGCTGGAGCCCGGGGCTGATGGAAGTCTGCCCCACCCACCTCCAGCCCCCTCTCTGCTCATTCCCCTCCGCCCCCTATCCCCACCCTGTGCCTCCCGTGAGGATGCAAGACCACACGTAACAGTTTCCAAAGCACTTTCACACCTCAGACCCTGTTGGTGGGAGTTCTGACCTCACCGGATGGACAGAGATGGCCCGGGGAAAAGTGATCTGTTTGTGGTCAGAGAACACAAATTAGTGACACAATCAGAATTAGAATCCACTCTCCACAGTTCCTCTTGTCTGCTTTTTCTTGACACTGCAGTCTCATGTATTTTATTCAATAGAGACTCCTTTATTAGAGAAGATTTTTATACTGAGGAAGAGATTAGACTAGTTGGCTCCAAAGGTCCAGATGAATGATGCATGCAAGTATGTTGCACACATACCACTATAGTCTGATCCCATACCCATGGCAGGCATTACTAATCAATCAGAGACCGTTATTCCTGTAAC